GATATGTTAATTTACATGGAAACCCTAAAAACTCCACAGAGGAACTAATCAAAACCATCCACCAGTTTAGCAAGGTAGCAGGATATAAAATCAACACACAAAAGTCAGAGGCCTTCCTATACAAAAACAACCAATCAGAAGATGCAGAAATAATAAAAAAAAAAAAGCCCCTTTTCAATTAAAACAAAAAGAATCAAATACCTGTAAATCAACCTAACAAAAGAGGTAAAAGACCTATACAAAGAAAATCACAAAACATTATTAAAAGAAATACAAGACACCAATGAAATGGAAAGACATCCCCTGCTCATGGATCGGGAGAATTAACATAATCAAAATGGCCATCCTGCCAAAAGCGATATACAGATTTAGTGCCATCCCAATTAAAGTCTCAATGATATTCTTCAAAGAAATAGAAAAAATGTTGATGAGATTCATAATGAACAACAAAAGACCTCAAAAAGCCAAAACTCTCATGACTAAGAAGAAAGAGAACAAAGGCATTACAATCCCAAACTTAAAGCTATACTACAAAGTCATAATAATCAAGCTGCATAATAATCAACTGCATGGTACTGGAACAAGAACAGATACACAGACAAGTGGAGTCAAATAGAAAACCCAGATATAAACCCACAGGTTTATTGACCGCTAATCTTTGACAAAGGAGCAAAGAAGATACAATGGAACAAAGAAAGTTTGTTCAACAAATGGTGTTGGGAAAATTGGGAAGCTACATGCAAAAAAATGAACTTAGATCACTACACCTCGCACCATACACAAAAATCAACTCAAAGACATAGACATAAGAATGGAAGCCATAAAATATCTGGAAGCAAAGATGGGCCAAACACTACACGACATACACATCAATAACATCTTTGAAGATACAGCACCCAATGCCACAATAATGAAGGCAAGGATAAATAGATGGAACTACATCAAGTTAAAGAGCTTTTGTAGTGCAAAAGAGAAATTACAAAGATATACAAAAAAACTAATGAAACTCAACAAAAATAAACAACCCAATTAAAAAATGGGCAAAAGAGCTAAAAGATACTTCTCCAAAGAGGAAATACAGATGGCCAACAAGCATATGAAAAAATGTTCAACATCACTTGTAATAAGGGAGATGCAAATTAAAACCATGAGATACCACCTTACACAGTGAGAATGGCACATCTTAAAACAACTAACAACAAATGTTGACAAGGATGTGGAGAAAAAGGAACTCTCCTGCAGTGCTGGTGGGAATGCAAACTAGTACAACCACTATGGAAAACTGTTTGGAGGTTCCTCAAACTGCTACAAATGGAGGTTCCATATGACCCAAGGTAGATACCGAGGAGTTAACCCCACACCCCACTCCTAGGTATCTACCCAAAAGACATAAAAAAACACTGACTCAAAAAGACATCTGCACCTCCATGTTTATTGCTGCTTTATTTACAATTGGAAAGACATGGAAACCACCCAAATGCCCAAAGTGGATGACTAGATTAAAAAGATGTGGTACATATATACAATGGAATATTACTCAGCAACCAAAAATAAATAAATAAACACATGCCTCCTGCAGCAACATGGATGGAGCTGGAAAAGATCATGCTTAGTGAAATAAGCCAGAAAGAAAAGGAAAAATAATGGATGGTTTCACTCATAGCAGGAGTATAACGGGCCAGGCGAGAAAATAATAATAATGAACAGCTATATATACCAGAGACATTTTATGGGGGTGGAGTAGGGAATAGCATCAAAAGCAGTATGGGGAGGGAAATGCACTGGACTATCTATGGTGATGGTACACGGGTTATTTGGTGATGGGAAGCCCACAGGGATTACAACTGAGATGGAAAAAGGCACAAAATGATGTAAAAATAAACTATTATTAAAAAAAAAAAACTTCTAGTGTTCAAAATTTATAGTCCCTATATTAAAAACTTCAAACTAAATTAATATTATGTTCAGTTAATATTCTCATATACTGTTATGATTTCCTCATTTAGCTCCTGAGAACATTCAATAGCAGTTGTTCCCAAGTAGGATACCAAGAAATTGAATCAGCAATGTGCTTGGGGGAAGGAGAATGATGAAATGGAGCATGTCTTCCACATTTATCTGCTTCAAACATCTAATGCTGAAGAAAAGGTCATAATGCTTAAAATAAAAGAAACTTAAAACCACCAAGTTTCCTGGATAAAGGAAATCTGTTGAATCTTCTTTGCACAGTTGTTTGGAACTATGGGTACCCAAACCAGATGACATATACCAATTCTTCCAGGCTTCTTTACAACCAGAAGAATAGCTTAGGGTATTTTTTCTTAGTTTCTCTTTTCTACCCTATCCCCTACAATATAAGCTTCTTTCCCCCTTATCGTTAAAAGTTCTTATTTCTGGGCCCTCCCTGATGGTGCAGCAGGTTAAAGCGCAGCACTGAAAGCTGGCCGCAGTCACTTCAGTGCAAGTTTGATCCCTAGCCCAGGTGATGACCCACATGGCACGGCAGACCTCTCCTGACCCGCCCACTGCTCCCCTCAGCAGTGTACTTTGTCCATCTGCCTGTTTTGCTCCCCACTCTGTCACTAGTGAATCCTCTCACCATCCCTGCACCTCTGGCCTATACTCCAGTTCTGTATGTATAAATAAATATTTTTAAAAATTCTTATAACCCCATTACATTAAAATTTCTTTGCAAATATTTCTAATGGCTGTAGAAAATCCCCTAGAATGGATATACTCTAGTTCTCCACCCATTGATTCTGTCGCTAAAAACAAAGTCACTGAGTTATTGGTGATTCATATTCAGGGATCTCATGAGTACAAATGCATGATTTTGTTTCATGAAATTATGACTAGTCAATTCTCAATGACCAGGGCCAGCAAGAGATGAGGACAGTGTAGTAAACAAATGTAATTTATTAAAACTCTAATTTTAGCCAGTGTTCTCAACTACCCAATTGTATTTTTTTAAAGATTTACTTCTATAAATTTATGCATATAAGAACTGGGGTGTTGGCCAGCTGTGCAGGGGGAGGGGATTCATTAGAAACAAAGTAGGGAGCTGAACAGGCAAATCTACTGAAATACACCGCTGAGGGGAGCAGCGAGCAAGAAAGGAGAGGTCTGCTGCGCCATATGGGTCAGCTCCCTGGCTCATCATATGAGGATCAAATTCATGTCGTGACTAGCGATAGCTTGATAGTGCTAAGACTTAACTCCTGTGCTACCAGAGAGGCCCCATCCAAGTGTTTTTAACCCCAGCAAACAACCTATAAAACAGAGTTAAGCTCCCAATAAAATGTACAGGCAGTAATAGGGAATTCTAACTAAAACAGAACTGATATGTGAATCTAGGTCACAGGTCTCCATGCCTTTAACTTCTAATTATGACATACCTAAGAAAAAGCAGACCAAAACCTGCCAGATGTAGAATATCTATAGACATAGAGAGAAATCAGTCCCTCCTGGTGGCAGGCAGGATGCTATGATGACAACAATCCCATGAGAACATAACAACAGGCCAGCTGCCGAGTCACTTTAGTTAATTTCTACTGCAAGACCTGACTCAGAATCTGGGTCATTCTGTTTTAAACACGATAGAATGAAGTCAGTGGCGTGTGGGACATGGTGCAGCAACTCACCTGTGCAGAACTCTTTGCTCATGCTGTGGGGCACAGTGATCCGTCGATAGACAATGGGTTCTGACTCTAGGATGTTCTCATCGTGGCGATACCGAGTAGGCCTTTCATTTGGGATGCCCCTGGAACGGGTACCACTTCTCCTCTCATATGTATCAATCTCCTCAAACACAGCTGCTTTGTCAAAAAGAGCCAGGTTCCCTTCAAAATCAAAATCTGTGTCTGGAATCTCCTCAATATCATCCCCAAAGCACTCATCATCTTTATTCTTCATCTGGCCATTCTTTAAGCCACTTTTCTTTGGAGTTGCTTGGTTTGGGTGTCTGCTACTAGAGGACCCTGGAGAAAAAAATCAGAGACTAAAGTCAGTATGCCTACAAAAAGTGCTCAGCGGGAGTAGCACTAGTCCTTTATGTGGAATGCTACCATACTTAAAGTGAAATGAAATGGTAAGCTAATTCTAAACCATTAAGCAACACAAAATAGCACAAATCTCATAGGAGACTAATATAAAATTTCATACGTTATTTAAGTAATATAAAATGAGCAGTATTCCTGGGAATCTTAACAAATTTTGTACTTCCTAAGAAAATTAGTAATAACAAAGGCTTTTTTGGATAAGTGACTATCAAAAATGTAGGACAATATAGTAAACTCTTTTCCCACAGATCAAAGTAATTTGACACTGAATGCCTGCAATTGTTAAAGAGAAAAAGATCCCCAGAGTAAAAAGAAAAAAAAAAAAAAAAGGTCAAGTTTCCATAACCTGAAGTTCAATGAAGGTACTATTCAAATGTCTCTTAATTCTTTTTTTTTTTTTAATTTAACCTTTATTCCTGGAAGTCTGTGTTAGATGGCACAGAATATATTAGTGTGGTAGAGTGGAGTCAACTGAAATTTTCTTTTTTTTTCTTTTAAGATTTATTTATTCATACAGAATTGGGATATAGACTAGAGGTACAGGGATGGTGAGAGGATTCACCAGAGACAGAGTGGGGAGAACAGGCAAACTGACGAAGCACACTGCTGAGAGGAGCAGTGGGCGAGGCAGGAGAGATCTGCCACACCATGTGGATCACCTCTGGGGCTGAGGATCGAACTTGCACTGAAGTGGCTGTAGTTCACTTGCAGTGCTGCTCTTTAACCCACTGCACCACCAAAGAGGACCCTCTCTTAATTCTAAGCTTACAAAGCAAGTATCTTCCTGATTATTTATTTGGTCTCAGGCTACACCAGCAGAAGGGAATCTTTAGGTTTGGACAAGAGATTCCAGATTTTGAGCGAAATGCACACTTTCCACTACAAGTTGGTATTTTGATGTATAAACTTGTCTTTAGTGATCTCCTGTCTCAGACTTTTATCACTTCTGAGTATGCAATTTCTGAACCATTAAAACCAGTGTGTAGATACCACACCAAAATGCACATCCATACAACAGTCAGTCGCTCTATGTAGCTGAATCTCTAATGTTGTAACACACCCTATCAAATACTAGTAAACAAGGAAGAAGATCCCACAGAATTCTCCAAACTATCCATTCCCAAAGAATCCTTGAATTTATATTCAACATATTTATATTGATTCCTCATCTGACCATCCTGAAAGGGTGAACCAGGTGACTGATAATAGTAATGTACTTTCCTTTGAGATACTGAGTTTCTTAATTATTGAAAATACTCAAGTAGAGGTGCAAATGATCACTAGCAAACCCCTTAATACATTACCATCCAAACCATACTGCTCAAACTCTTTCACAACAAATTTCTACCCAATGGGCGATGTATGAGTCAGGAGACCTAGGATCTAGTTGTCATTTTTCAATGACATTTATGCCTGTCACTCAATGTTTCTATGTCTTGCATGTAAAATGCTCACTTACAGTCTTCCCAGCACAGTTGGCAGGCAATCTGTAAATAGCTGTTTAACACACATTAACAAGTTAATTAACATCAGAAAGATCAGTTACAGTAATTATTCTGCACAATATGTACTACACAAATATATCTCATGTCCAGGTCTTTCTAATGCCAAATATTGGTATGAAAGAGGGCTGTACTGGGAGTAAAGATGAAACTTAGACCTCTGAAAAACAGCAAAGCTGACCAAAAGAACTTGTTGGAACACCATAAACAGCCTGGATTATGAACTTTGAGAGGCAAAGGCTGAATTAAGTTCAAGTTCCATGGTGAAAACATGCCATATACCAGCTAAGTGCTAGAGTATATAGTATTATAATATATAACCAAGATATGTTACTCAAAGAGGGAAGAGAGATATATAAAGCAAATACTAAAATACAATGTGGTAAAAAACCGAAGTTTAGGGCCCTCCCTGGTGGTGCAGCGGGTTAAAGCGCAGCATTAGGAATCAAAGGGCACCTCCACATGAGTTCTATCCCCGCCTGCCCCAGAGGTGATCCACATGGTGTGGCAGACCTCTCTTGACCCACCCGCTGCTCCCCTCAGCAGTGTACTTCGTCGATCTGCTCCCCACTCTGTCTCTGGTGAATCCTTTCACCCTCTGCACCTCTGGCCTGTACCCCAGTTCTGTATGAATAAATAAATTTTAAAAATATATATAAAGTCAGGTAACAATACATGTAGGTATGGGAAGAACTAGAGGAAAGCCCAGTTTGCAGAATTATTCATGCACTGCCTCAGTATTAAATCAAACCTTCCTACTAGGAGACAGGTTTCCAGTCCAATGGTTGGCTTCGGGTGGGTTATGTGCACACCCAGTAGTATACAGGACGATCTAGTGGACATAGGGAAAAAACACTGAATATACGTTTTACTTTACCTTTTAACTAAAAGTGGTAAGAAATTAAATTTCATTAATTAGATTCCATTAACATATAAACAGAAACAGAATCTTTATCAGGTTTTATGCCAGCCAACCACTGCCAATATTTTAGATATCTGAGGAAGAGCAAAGTTCCATAGTGAACATATCCATACAATATGATATTTTTAAATTGTGGTAAAATAAACATAACACACTTCAGCATTTTTAAATGCACAGTGGCATTAAGTATATCCACACTGTTGTGCAACTATCAATTTTTTTTTTTTAAGATTTATTTATTTGTGCATACAGAACTGAGGTACAGGCCAGAGGCTCAGGGGCGGCAAGAGGCTTCACCAGAAAAAGAGTGGGGAGCAGAACAGGCAGATCGACGAAGTACACTGCTGAGGGGAGCAGCAGCCAGGTCAGGAGAGGTCTGCCGCGCCATGTGGTCACCTCCAGGGCAGGCGAACTCATGGGGAAGTGGCTTTAGTTTCTCAGTGCTGTGCTTTAACCTGTTGCGCCACCAGAGAGGGTCGCCAACTATCAATTTTTAATCATAGCATATAAAACAACTAAGTGACTCAAAAGATTCTTGTAAAGAAACTGAATTAAGATAAGACTAATGATGCATTCATAAGTGAACAAGAGAAAAGCAGAGCTAATATTTCCACTATGTCTCTTAACAGTCATCTTTAGTCAAAAAGAAGCTAATTAAGAAAAGTGTTCCCAAATTAAAAAGTATTTTTTTCCACACACAAATCCATACGGTGTATCACAGATTCATTTCACCCAAAATGTATAAGCATATTTCTGTAAACTTCAGCCTTGGGCCCAAACCCAGTCTAGTTCTAGTATCTGCTTCTATAAATAAAGTTTTACTGAAACACATACTTGTTTACATATGCCTAAGCTGCTTTTGGGCTATAAAGACAAGGTTAAATATTTTGAGACAGAGACCATTTAAAGCCTATATTTAAAAATTAACTGAATAAGGAGCCAATTCTTTGATCAGTTTCATTCAAGATGTTAGTTTGTCACTAACTAAGCTCTTGTCTTTCACCTTCACACGCACACTTTATGATATGGGGCTAGAACTCTACAAACTACGTTTTTCCTTCCTTAGCTGGCTTCCTGTTAGGGTCCTACACCAGCAGTGGGTACCTGAAAAGACTGGAAGGGAGAAGGAAGTGGGAAGAAGGAAGACAGGACTTCTGCCTTGTTTATGTACCCTGGCTGTTAGTTCCAGTCTCCAGCTTTTCTTCATGGTCTAGACAGAACCAGCTTCACTGTATCCAAGAAGTTTATAAAGCCCCTCTTCTGAACTCTTAAGGTTCTGATAACCTACCCACTTTTCCTTCATTTCTCGTTCCTTAATGTCTTTTCCTGCTCTGTTTGGTCTTCCAATACCTACAAAATCAATTCTCTATGTTAAAATTTCTCTAAAATTACTTTTCCTTAGTGGTATGTCACAATTTAAGAAATGATTCCAAATTAATCACCATCCTAAACAAATTTTTATTTTTTTTTTCAAATTAATTTTTAATAAGCAAAAAATATTTGGAGCCATTAATATTACTATAACAGAAGTTTTGCTGATCTAGCCCCTTTAAATTTGTACATTTGCCTCGTACTTACTCTATATTATTACATAATATATACTGCATATAATACAACTATAATATTACATATTGTATATAATGTGTAGGTAGAAGTCAATGAACTGATGAGCCAATATATGTTCTTTTTTATTCAGATTTTTTAAAATTTATTTACGCATATAAGAACTGGGGTACAGGCCAGAGGTACAGGGAGTAAGAGGATTCACCAGAAAGAGTGGAGAGCAGAACAGGAGGACTGACAGAAATACACTGCTGAGGGGAGCAGCAGGTAAGACAGAAGAGGTCTGCCGCACCATGTGGGTCACCTCCCTGACAGGGGATTGAACTCAGGATGCAGTGGCTGGTGATAGCTTGATAGCTATTATGCATCACCAGGGAAACCCTATCTAGACTACTTTAGATATCATAGAAATTTTTAATTTCTGGAAGAGGAAGTACAAGAAACCTAGTAAAACAGTATCAACATTATGAGTCAAATACTTCAAGCTTATTTTTTTAAATTTTTTTAAAAGATTTATTTATTTGTGCATACAGAACTGGGGTACAGGCCAGAGGCTCAGAGGCGGCGAGAGGCTTCACCAGAGATAGAGTGGGGAGCAGAACAGGCAGATCGACGAAGTACACTGCTGAGGGGAGCAGCGGGCGGGTCAGGAGAGGTCTGCCACGCCATGTGGTCACCTCCAGGGCAGGCAGGAATCGAACTCATGTGGCAGTGGCTTTAGCTTACTTAGTGTTGTGCTCTAACCCACTGCGCCACCAGGGAGGGCCACTTCATGCTTATTTTAAGGCACTATTTAATCCAAAGCCTAAATCTCTGAAGTTGAATATAGTTTATTTGGTAGAAAGGAATGAGGGTGCTCTAGACAAGTCTCTTCATTTCAGCCAACTGCATTTATAATCACACCAACTGCTCCCTAAATCCAAAACACAATT